ATTGCACTCCTTGGTATTTATCCAAAGGAGTTGAATACTTATTTTTACAGAACAACTTGCACATGGATGTTCATAACAACTTTACTCATAATTGTTAAAATTTGGGACCAACCAAATGTCCTTTAATAGGTGAATGGATAAAGTGTGGTACATCCAGGCATGAACTATTACTCAGCACTAAAAAGAAATTGGTATCAAGCCATAAAAAGACATGGTGTACCTTAAATGCATATTACTAAGTGAAAGAGACCCAACTAAAAAAGCTACATAGTGAAGGATTCTACTATATGACATAATGAAAAAAGCGAGAGTGTGGAGATAGTAAAAAGATCAGTGGTTGCAGAGTTCATGGGGTGAATGAATAGGCAGGACACAGAAAAATTTTAGGCAGTGAAATTCTGAATATTATTAATGAGGGATACATGTCATCTTGCTTTGTTGAATATACAACACCAAGATTGAAATGAAAGGTAAACTATGGACTTTGGGTAATTATGAAGTGTCAAGATAGGTTCATCAACCATAATAAATCTACCACTTTAGCAGGGGATATTGATGGGGTAGGCTATGTACCTGCAAGTATATGTGGGGATATATTGGAAATCTCTGTGTCTTCCTCTAATTTTGTCGTGACACTAAAACTACTCTAAAAAATAAAGTCTTTAAAAAAAAAAAAAATACAAAGGGAGGTCAGCAAATAGAAGTTAGGGGGAAAAAGTTGTCCTTGGCTCTCCAGAAGGGTCAGAAGGGTGAGGGTTCCTTCAACAAGGGAAAATAAATGCTAAAGAAATAAGCTGAGAACAAGCTAGCTGGCTAAATAAATTCAAATGAAGGGAACAATAAAAAAAGATTTTTTTGCTTATACTACATGTCAGAAAGGGTAGGAGGAAGAACAGTAGTTGAACAGAGAGATAAAGCACAAGAAATGGAAAGATCAGAGCCTTAGCATGTACTGATCAAGCCATGCACCATAAGCATCATAGTCCATGATCTAGGACCTTCTTCATTGGGCTTCAGTGTCTTCTTGTCTTCTTCAGTGTCTTCTTGTGAAGAAGGAAAAAGAAAAAGTGTTTGGAAACAAATTTACTGTGCTTCTCTACAACTTACACACAACAGTCATAGTTATATCTATAGTAATAAAAGTAACATTTCATTAACTATAAACAAGCACAGGCATCTTATTGGGGTAGTGGTTGAACAATTTAGTAAACTTACTAAAAATCATTTAATTGTCCACTTACAACAGGTTAGTTATGGTACATAAATTGTGCCTCAGTAAAGTTCTTTTAAAAATCTATTCTCACTTTTCTTTATGGTACTTTTTCAAATACTCTCTACTATCTTCCCATAGAAAAAAAGCCCAAATGCCTCTACAGAATATCTTTTTCAACTTATTTATAGCTCAGTTTGTCTGATGTTCCTTTTGAAATGTGGAATCCATGATTAAATACATCATTTCCATCATGTTTTACTTATACAGAATTAATGATTTTACTACTTAGCTGTGTTGGTATATTTTATTCTGGTTACTGTAGCTTATGACTATTTAGCAACCATATCACACTGCTTGATTATATTAAACATAAACTTAAATCCTTAGACTTTTTTACCCTCTACAATCAACTTCCAAGGAAATTTCTTCCACTCACATAATATTCAATTTTTTTTCATTTTTACTTAAAATTATACTAATGAACATTTGAGAAAAACAGAAAATAGGGAAGAAGAACAAAAACTATAGCTGATAATGTCATATATTTACTTTCAACACATTTTATATGAATAATCATATCAGAAAAAAATAACATCAATTTCTATGGCCATCCTTCCCAGGTCCAAGAAATGATGTATTTAATACTCTATATAATAGAGTCTATTACATCAGCCTGTTTTAGTCCCTTCACAGTTCTTATCACTATCCAAAACTTTATTTGGTCACTTTTTCACTGTTTACCTTGTTAGTATGCACAATTCTCGAGCTTATAAGCTTTATTAACCTTTCTTCCCCTGGGCCCTCATCTAGTTCTGTAGTTTAAAATTAACTCCATCTAACCCCTAGCCATAACTCTAAACCTAAGGTTATCCCTCTGGAGAAGTCTCAGAACTGCAGGATAGTAGGCACATACCCTTGCACTGTCCCTAACCCTAACCATTATTCTGGTCCTAAACTGAATCCTAATCCTAGATCTGAGGGGACAAAAAAAGATTTGGTACACACAATGGAATATTACTCAGCCATAATAGTAACTGAAATAAGTCAGTCAGAGAAAGACAAGTATCATATGACTTCACTCATATGTAGAATTTAAGAAAGAAAACAAATGGGTAAATTGGGGGGGCGGGTGGGACAGAGAGGCAAACCAAGTAATACTGATGGTTACCAGAGAGGAGGTGAGTTGGGGTATGGGTTACATAGGTGATTAAGAAGTGCACTTGTTATGTGCACCAGGTAGTCTAGGAAGTGTTGAATCACTATTTATTGTACACCAGAATCCAATATTATAGATTATGATAACTGGAATTAAAATAAAAACTTTCAAAAAAGCAAAATAAGATAAAATAAAAGTAACTCCATATGTATGCTGAAGATTCCTAAAGTTATCGCTCTAGCCCAGACCTCTCTCATGAACTCCAAACTCATATGTATAATGCCTACAGACACATAAACACATAAAAACTTCCATTACATATGTACTGCATAGACCTACATCTGTATATTCCGCATGTCTATAACCAAATTCTGGACTCTCCCTACTATCCCACCAACATTCTCCATCCATAGTCTTTCCCATCTCAGTTGATGGCCATTCTAACCTTCAGGTGGTCAATTTGATTTCTTTCATTCTCTAGCATTCCATACCCATGCCATTAGCAAATTGTATTGACTGTGCCTTCAAAAATATGTCCAGAATCTAGTCAATTTCTCAGCAGCCCCACTGGTACTATCATAGCCAAGTCTCCACCAACTCTATCCTTGCCCCCACCCTCCACTATAGTCTGCTTTCACATTTCTGAGCAATCTTTTTAGACACAAGGCAAGTCACATCAAAACTCTGCAATGGCTTTGTTTCACCCAGGACAAAAAAAACAATATCCTTTCTTTAGGCTTTTGTCACCTCTCTGATCTGTATCGCCCACTCCCTTTTGTTCTCACCTCACTCAAAGCCTTCTGTATTTTTTAAATGTTCTCAATGTTTTTTTGTTTTTTGTTTTATTTTGTTTTTATTTTCAGCATAACAGTATTGTTTTTGCACCACACCCAGTGCTCCATGCAATCCATGCCCTCTACAATACCCACCACCTGGTTCCCCCAACCTCCCACCCCCCGCCCCTTCAAAACCCTCAGATTGTTTCTCAGAGTCCATAGTCTCTCATGGTTCACCTCCCCTTCCAATTTCCCCCAACTCCCTTCTCCTCTCTAACTCCCCTTGTCCTCCATGCTATTTGTTATGCTCCACAAATAAGTGAAACCATATGATAATTGACTCTCTCTGCTTGACTTATTTCACTCAGCATAATCTCTTCCAGTCCCATCCATGTTGCTACAAAAGTTGGGTATTCATCCTTTCTGATGGAGGCATAATACTCCATAGTGTATATGGACCACATCTTCCTTATCCATTCGTCCGTTGAAGGGCATCTTGGTTCTTTCCACAGTTGGCGACCGTGGCCATTGCTGCTATAAACATTGGGGTACAGATGGCCCTTCTTTTCATTACATCTGTATCTTTGGGGTAAATACCCATTAGTGCAATGGCAGGGTCATAGGGAAGCTCTATTTTTAATTTCTTGAGGAATCTCCACACTGTTCTCCAAAGAGGTTGCACCAAGTTGCATTCCCACCAACAGTGTAAGAGGGTTCCCCTTTCTCCACATCTTTTCCAACACATGTTGTTTCTTGTCTTGCTAATTTTGGCCATTCTCACTGGTGTAAGGTGATATCTCAATGTGGTTTTAATTTGAATCTCCCTGATGGCTAGTGATGATGAACATTTTTTCATGTGTCTGATAGCCATTTGTATGTCTTCATTGGAGAAGTGTCTGTTCATATCTTCTGCCCATTTTTTGATTTTATTAACAACAACAACAAAAATAAACCGTTTAAACAATGGAACTATGAAAGGGTAATCTCCCTTTTTACCCAAATGATTCCTCTTTAAGTATAAAATTAAATACAAAGCCAAGTCTTTAGGAAAAACAAATGAACAAACAAAAAAACCTAAATTAAATTCATGGCAAGACCTTGTAGAGCCCTGAATGCCTGCCTATGGCATTGATGGTAAGTTTAGTGAAGACAGGTTTCTAAAATAAATCAAAATGCATGGTGTGGTAGATGATTTCTGGGTTTGGGATTGAAAAATTATGTTAAAGTCTTCTCTACTACTGATTGTGAGGCCTTCAGTAAGTCATTATTCTGAATCATAATTTTCTTCTATGTAAAGATGAAGAGATTAACCTGTAAAACTCATTATAAACTTGTGCTTTACAAGATAAAGACTTATAGATAGCTACTAAAAATACATCTAATAGGTCTGACTTATTCCCAGTAATGTCATTTAAAGTTCTTGATCAGTCTGCATATACAAAAGAATGCCAGTAAATAAACCTAATACCACAAATGTTAAGGGACTGGTCCAGATTGAATTATATACAATTTACAAAAGCCTATGAAGTGAACTCAAAACTTAGAGGAGTGGAGAGGCTCACTTACTAAGAACTGCAAGGGCAAAGAAACCACAAACCTAAGGTTCCTGAACAGAATACAGATATTGAATGTTCAGACTATACATCTGGACTTGGGCTTGGAGCAAATTTCTTCAGATGACGACACGGTGGGAGAAATTAACTGTCAAGAGGTCTTTGGGAACTGTTCCTGGCTGAAACAAACCGCGAGTTAGAAAGGACGAACCACTTTTCGAGAGAGCTGGAAGATAAACTGTGGTTTTGTCTTCTTAACGGGTCGGTTCTAGCAATTTTACCGCCCAGTCCGAACCACTCACCGGGTCAACTGGGCTGCAAGGCCTTATGAGTTGGGAACAAACGGCCCAGACCCGGCACAGTCCGTCAAACCGCTAGGTGTTCATCTGTTCCGGACACGGTTTCTAAGGAAACGAGGCCAGACTCTGGACTCGGTTCTCAAGGTTTTCTCGGGGCGGACCGGAGCCTCGGGGGCGTGGTTACGTGAGTGACGCACGTAAAGGGCGGAACAGAGGCGAAACCGGAACCCTGAAGGGGTTACATTCAGGTGCGCATGCGTGCTGTGCCTGGCGGCAGAGTTGGAAGGCTTCTGCTGGTTTCGGGGAAGGTGTTGTTATGGCTGCTGCGCTTGCACCCCTTGGCGTAACTCTGCGAGAAGCCACCCAGCGAAAATTGAGGAGGTTTTCAGAGCTGAGAGGTAGCGAAGAGGGAACCCCAGCTATTCCCGGAAGTGGAGAGGGAGGGTGCTTTACCTACCGGGAAATTTGCTGGACTGTCACTTCCTGTCTGCTTCTCACCTTGGGGTTTAGGACGCAGGCCCAGCTGTAGCTAACACCCTTCTTGTTTTGTTTTGTTTTGTTTTGTTTTGTTTAATTCTGCCACTGCCCTTTCCTTACGTTATGTTGTTACTTTATTTCTTTGACTTTATTCCTAGTAACATATATATATCAAAATAAGAGAGAAGGAAGAAGAAAGAAAATATTAATCTGATTAGGGAGCAATAAATCCAAGTTATGCATTTGGTTAGCTCATTAACAAAAGTTATTTAAAATAAATCTAAATGATCTAAAGCACAGTGTTTTGATCAATACAAATCTGATTTTAGCATTCTACAGTCCCCTTACCTCCTTCATCAATTCGTTCCATGCTGTGAATGCAAACTGAGTAAAAAATAGAACAAGACACAGAGGAATTATAGGTTAAAATCTAAAAGGGAAAGTTTGCATCAAAAAATAAATAAAGCTGTGTTATTTGTCATTCTTTGTACAACTATCTAATAAAATTATATTTTTGATGAAGTTACTTGCATTAAAAATACAGGAAGTAATACTTGGAAGACAGTAGGATGTTCAGGACTGTTAGGTTTGGACAAATCCTCTCTGTTAATTAATAAGAATCCTTATCATCTTGTGTACCAATAAAGAAGAGCTTCCAACTGTCTACCAAAAATTCACTCTTTTTTTAATGAGTTCATTAGGGAGTTGGGAACTTTTCTGTTATCCAGAATTTTAGGTCATACTTAAAAGCCTTTGTAAACTTGCATGGCTCAACTTAAGGTAATAAACAATAAAGGACCTAAATTTGTAAATAGCAACATTGGAGGAGTGGATCTTTGGGATGAATTGTACTTAACCAATAAACGGTCCTGATATATGAAAATTGATTTTCACAGCTGGAGATTCATTTATTCTTTTTGTCTCTTGTTATTTAAGAATTGAAGTAAATTTTAGGAAGGTGAAAGTACCTCTCTTAAGAAACCTAACAACTGGGGTGCCTGAGTGGCTCAGTGAGTTAAAACCTGTGCCTTCGGCTGGGGCATGATCCCAGGGTCCTGGGATCAAGCCCCACATCGGGCTCTTTGCTTGGCATGGAGCCTGTTTCCTCCTCTCTCTCTCTCTCTCTGCCTGCTTCTCTGGCTACTTGTGATCTCTATCTGTCAAATAAATAAATAAAATCTTAAAAAAAAAAAAGAAACCTAACAACTTTCAGAATATTAAATAAGTGAACTGTAAACTATAAAAGGAGCAAGTAATCTAAGAAAAAAATAAAAATTTGTGAACAATCTTCAATAGAACTAGTTTGAATTATCCTACCTAGCCACTAATTATTCTCTAATTCTGAGAAGATAGGTTTATGAAGATAATCTTTTTTTTTTTTTTTCCTTTCCAAAGAGGTAACCTAACAGCTAGAGATTTCTGATACTTGTTCCCTTGCTTTTTCCACATAGGCAAACCTGTGGCAGCTGGAGAATTCTGGGACATTGTTGCAATAACAGCAGCTGATGAAAAACAGGAGCTTGCTTATAAGCAACAGCTGTCAGAAAAGCTGAAAAAAAAGGAGCTACCCCTTGGAGTTCAATATCATGTTTTTGTTGATCCTGCTGGAGTTAAAATCGGTACTCTCTCTATGGTCACATTTAAATTATAGGTTCTAGGCATAATGATCACTGAAGAAAAGCTTTCCTATGGCTCAAGTTTATGAGCTCTATATCTTTCTTCCTATAGTCTTTCCAAACTTTAAAAATTTAATGTAAATTTATAATTTTTTAAGAAAGATTAAAGGCATAGCAGTTGTTTTTACACATTGTAACTTACCATGAAAAACTCACAGAATGTTACTTAAAAGAGAATTTTATTAATGTTAATAAATTTACTTAGGTGGTGAATATTCTTTTGGACTTTATTGTTAGGACTCTTAAGGTCCCTCCCAACTCCATAGTTCAGAAATTTACATGAAGATTGCAAATCAGGGGAAAAAAAAATAAACACACACACATACTTAGCCTCTTGGAACCATGATGCAGAAAGTAAAAGAGCACAGTCTAATGGCCCAAGTATCACAGATACTTACTTTAAAAACCCAGTTTAAGTCAACCTTGCCTTTGACCTTCCACTGCAAATAAAAATACTTGCTATTTTTCTGGGGGCCATTTTCTTTGTGATACTCGAAGCCTCTTGATACCACACAGGGTATCTATATCTGACATTGGCATTGTTCTATTTAACCTGTGTTAATCCTCATAATGGTGTAGTCAGTACTTTTATGGTTCCTATCATATAGATGAGAATCTGAGGCAGAGAGTTAAATAACTTGCCCAAGGTAACTAGTAAGTGTAGTTATATTTAAGATATTTTTTAGAACACCAGGCTCTAAGAAACTTTTTAGAAAGGAAATCTAACTCAAATATTTGGTTTTGTCATGTGGGAGAATTATTTTAATAAGTTTTTCAGTTTGTAATTTCAAATGAACATGTATACTTACTTTTTGTGTTGCAGTTTGTCTAATATATTACTTCCTTATTTTCAGGAGATTTCAGTGCTCATCAGTTATTACCAAGTGCTAATCTCTGGATTTCATTGCTAATTATTTATCTATTTAAATACTGTGAAATGTGTGTTCAATGTGACTCTTTTGCCCATACCTTTGCTCTCCAGCTAGTTGATTGTTAGCCAAAGGCCCTATCCTGAAAGTTAAAACACCTAACGTTTTACCATAATTACAAATTTTCAGTATGTTTCTATGAAATTAATTGCATTTTTTAACTTTTATTTTTAAGGAAATGGAGGATCCACACTTTGTGCCCTTCGATGTTTGGAAAAGATATATGGCAATAAATGGAATTCTTTTACCATCCTATTAATTCATTCTGGTAAAGTTACACATTTTCTTTTTCACTAATTGACATTTTACCTTTGATATTTTAGGGACTTTTTTCTACCTTGCAAATACTTGTCCTTTTTAAAAATTTTTTTCTTTGAAGTTACTGTGCTTTGAAAACATATTTCATGTTTTTCTAGACATTTTAAAGTTGTAAGCAACATAATTTTTTTCATAAATGTATCTTTATAGATCACATACATCATCAGCTTTTCATGGATATTGTTTTTAGTATGTATATAGAAAATTATTTTCCTAAAATATAACTCATCAAAATGTGAACATTTCTTGATAATGCTTTAAAAGGGATTATTATTGTAGGGGAGAGGCTGGCTTAGCACTATGATTACCAGACTTTTGCCAAAACCTTCTACCATACATTAGTATCTGATTATTGGTGGCAAAAGTCTACGATCCTTAAAAGAGTTTGAAAACAAAAGAGAGGATGGTGACAAAACATGGAGAGGACAAGAAATTATGTAAGAGGGCAAATCACACACAAAAGAGAACATTTTAGAGCAGGAAAGTGGGAAAGAAATAATCTCAGGAGAATAGTTTTCTTAATTCAGTAAACTTAGTTGTATGAAAACTCGGGTTATATGCAAACCTCTGTTCTTTTTCTGTATGTACTGGAGCTGATGAAAATGTTATTATAGACTGGCACCAGTGCAGGGACAGGTATTTTAGAGCCACTCATCTACATGGCTTTCAAAGCACTTTATTTCTTAGATTCATAATCTTTGTAAGGATGGTATCAAAGCATCCAAATTCTGATTTTAAGACTAACTCTAAAAAAGTAGAAAAATTCAACTTTATAACTTATTCCAGAACCAATATTATTTATTACCAACTTAGTAAAATCTAAGTTAGACACTGTAAAATACATAGTTGGGAAAAGGTTAATCTTACAATGCTAAACTTAAGTATTGGCTAGTCTTTGGAAAAGGAGAAAAGTAGAAAGTATTAGCTCTCATTTGTTGAACAACATATGGTGTTCCAAGTGTTTTACATAAAACACAATAAAGCAGGTATTCTGCATTTGCTGATTTGGAGTAAATCCAAAGATGGAACAACTAAAAAGTGGTGAACCAGAGTTTGAACCTGTTTTTGTCTCTTTCTACTATCTAATGCGGCTCCTCAATATAATTAGTTACATAAAAATGGTGTAAGGTATTTAATGTACTTAAGAGAACATGCTTTTCAAGGAATTAAAGTCGTAAGACTCAGATTGACAAAGCCTGTTTAAATTAAAAACAAGTATAAATTTTAAATGCTTTTAAGTAAATGTACCTTTACTTCCTTAAAATGTATGTAATAATTTGAGGAAAAACACTGCATCTGGAAATTACTGTTCAGTAATTTTATTTTAGAATTGGTATTTTAGTTTTTGTGACTTTTCCCCCTCTATGAAGTGGATTCTTAATATAGGAGTTCAAACGTTGTTGTAATTTTAATTTATCATTTAAAATATGGATATAAGATCATTTTTTAGCCCATGGTTTTCTTTACTAGTTGCACAATTGATTCAAAACAATTCAAAGCCTCTAAAATATAATATAATAGAATTCTTTCCTAATCTCACATTGCATTGTATCAAATCACTATAGGAGAATTGGTCTTGAATTTGTAACCTGGAATTTGCTATTCTTTCCTAAGCTACTGTACTGTATTATATATATTAAATATTTTTTAGAGATATTTTTGTTACAACTGATCCCCCTGGGTTTCTAAAATCTTAAGAGACTTATAAACATTTTAAAATAGTTATTTTGTTATTTTTATATAGGTGGTTACAGCCAACGCCTTCCAAATGCAAGTGCTCTGGGCAAAATTTTCACTGCATTACCTTTTGGTAACCCCATTTATCAGATGTTGGAATTAAAACTAGCCATGTACATTGATTTCCCCTTGCATATGAATCCGGGGATTCTGGTTACCTGTGCAGATGATATTGAACTTTATAGTATCGGAGAATGTGAGTTTATTAGATTTGACAAACCTGGCTTTACTGCTTTAGCTCATCCTTCTAGTTTGACTGTTGGTACCACACATGGAGTATTTGTCTTAGAACCTTTTGATAAATTAGAATATAGAGACCTTGAATACAGGTCTTGCCATCGTTTCCTTCATAAACCCAGCATAGAAAAGATGCATCAATTTGATGCTGTATGTAGACCGGGAAATATTTCTCAACAGGACTTTGCTAGGGGTGATACTCCCTCTCTTAAGTTAGACTCTGAGTATGTCTACACGGACAGCTTGTTTTATATGGATCATAAATCAGCAAAAAAGTTACTTGCTTTTTATGAGAAAATAGGCACATTGAGCTGTGAAATAGATGCCTATGGAGACTTTCTGCAAGCTTTGGGATCTGGAGCAACTGTGGAGTACACCAGAAACACAGCAAATGTCACTAAAGAAGAAGCAGAGTTGATAGATATTAGGCAGAGAATATTTCATCTTCTTAAAGGAACCTCATTAAATGTTATTGTTCTTAATAACTCCAAATTTTATCACATCGGAACAACTGAAGAATACTTATTTCATTTTACTTCAGATAGCAGTTTGAAGTCAGAACTTGGCTTAGAGTCCATAGCTTTTAGCACCTTTTCTGCAATACTGGAAAGTTCTGGTAATACATCCTGTATCATTCAAAGTATACTGGATTCAAGATGTTCTGTGGCAACTGGCTCAGTTGTGGAGTATTCCAGATTGGGGCCTGATGTTTCAGTTGGGGAAAACTGCATTATTAGTGGTTGTCATATAACAGCAGCTGTTCTGCCTGCATATTCTTTTGTGTGTTCCTTAAGCTTGAAGATGAATGGACACTTAAAGTATTCAACTATGGCATTTGGAGTGCAAGACAACTTGAAAAAGAAGGTTAAGACATTGTCAGATATAAAGTTACTTCAATTCTTTGGAGTCTGTTTCCTGTCATGCTTAGATATTTGGAATCTGAAAGTTACAGAGGAACTGTTCTCTGGAAACAAGACATGTTTGAGTTTGTGGAATGCTCGTATTTTTCCAGTTTGTTGTTCTTTAAGTGATTCAGTTACAATATCCCTAAAAATGTTAAATGCTATACAGAACAAATCAGCATTCAGCCTGAATAACTATAAACTGTTGTCTATTGAAGAAATGCTTGTCTACAAAGATGTAGAAGACATGATAACTTATAGGGAGCAAATTTTTCTAGAAATTACTTTAAATACAAAAAAACAGTCTGATTTAGAGACATCTTAAATGTCCTACAACTTGGCATTCTTGATTAAGCAAGACTACAAATAGAAGAGTTTTCTGTAGACTTTTGTTTTTTCATTGAAGTGAATCAGTGCAAATTATATTAAAAATTACTGTAACATATTAATAACACAAAAATATGAATTCTCCATTTTTGATAAAAGAATATTTTCAAGGCTGTAAGCTCAGAAAGGGGATTTTTTTTATGTTTAGCACTATTTTAATTTTCTTTTTTATTAAAGGTGGATTTGTGGAGCATAGCTGTGCTCATATAGTACTATAGTAGTTTTAAGTAATTTTCTAAACATACCTTTAGAGTTTTTCCATCTTCCTTTTGGGCTTTGGCTTCAGTACAGTTCTAAGTGTTTATTGGCATTTCTGTCTTTGAGCATAGTAGTCCTATTCTAATGAACTGATAAAAGTGGCATACTATAGGATCTTCAGAGACTAAGAATACTGTAGAAATACTTTTTTGGAAAGAAACCCATCGCTCACAAATTCAGATAAAATCAATTAAAATATTGTGATTATGTAATTAATAAATAATTAGATGCAAACAGTTTTGAAATTGATGATGAAAATCTGTCTCATTTATTGCTCTTACCAAAATGAAACTAAAAGTGTATATGTGTTATTTTACCTTATAAATGTGGATATGTGTTTCTATATCTTTTTTTTTTTTAAGATTTTATTTATTTGAGAGGGAGAGAGACAGCAAGAGGCGAAACACAAGCATGGAAAGTGGGAGAGGGAGAAGCAGCTTTCCCACTGAGCCAGGCCGTGGTTGTATCCCAGGATCCTGGGATCATGACCTGAGCCAGAAGGCAGAGACTTAATGACTGAGCCACCCAGGCATGTGTTTCTGTATCTCAAAATTTTTCCCTAAAGTTCCATCCATACAAAAGCATATACGTGTACAAAACTCAAATATCTGTGTGGGGAAGGTGATAGGAATAATTGGGATTCATTAATAATCATGTAAGTTCATTTTGGACATTACTTATATCTTTTTATTAATCCCTTTACTAGAACTGTTACATTACCAAATGGACTGATTTTACTCTCTATTTCATATTTTTTGTCCTTGTACTGGTGATGTACTGAGAAGTAATAATTGACCAAAGGTAGCAGCAGGAAGGAGCCTAAAGAAGAGAATTACAGATGATAAACAGCACCAAGAAACTAAAAATTGGCTGGAATCTCAAATTATGTGTTCCTATTTTGCTGTAAGCATGCATGTGAAATGTCTTTATGTCAAAGTGTAATAATAATTAGAGAAACTGTTTGTCAGTTTTGTGTTTTAACATGAGTAAACTGAAATTTGTACTTTGATTTATATATTAACATGTCAATATAAAAATACTTGATATGGCTTGCCTACAACCTTCAATTAGTTTATTTCTGTGTTTTGTTTTGTTGTTTTGTTGTGTGTTTTTTTTCCTTTTAAGTTTCTTTCCAAGGAAAAACTAAAGATATAGCCATGGTTTAGCATTGACTGATTTACTTGCAGAGCTTTCAGAAGATACTATGTGTCTGTCATTGAGTGAATGCTTAATACTGTATTTCACCTAAGTGCCATTGATTATTAAGAGTTACCATTATTTCATGTTCCACTAAAAAGAAAAAAAAAAAAACTACCAATAAAATATGGCACAATGCTTCTTTCAGAATCAAACTCTTCTGAAACACTTTCCAACTCAGTTGTTGATACCCATGTGCTTATACCCAGTACCATCTTCTGTGTTATCAAAGATATTGGTAAAGCTATATGTCCTAAGAGTGCCATCACCACACTGCTGTCTGGACTGACTCAAAACTGTCAACACCAGATACCTGTTGTGTAAGTTTTGTTGTTGATGGTTTACTATTTAGCAAAACTCAGTTTCATTTTTGCCTTAGTATAATCACATGCCTCTAGAAAATAGTTGGCTTCTATTCAAAGTCAGTGGGAGTTTTCTGACAAATTGGTGGTCACTGTTTTAATCATCATTCTGCACTATGTGGATTCTAGTTGCTCTGAAATGTTATCAGTACCAAAGAATTTGGCATTTTCTCTTGCCTTGAGATGCATTACTTGGGGTAGTAACAAACATGTTCATGAACAGTGTATCTAACTCAACCAAGGTGAGAGTCCCATGCATATATAAGTAAAATGTTGAACATTTCCTCTTGATTTACCATTTTTATTTCATAAAATAACAGGCTTTAAATTCCATATACTCTCAAGTTTTATAGAGGATGGCTGTTATTTATAACTAAATATAGCCCATAAACTTATTGCTCAGGTAATAATGAACAGTGACCAAGGAAGGCATGGGAGGAAAAAAATCCAACATTTGGTATTAATCTACCTCAGGCATTTTTTTCTACAACTAAGCAACACAGAATGAAGCATGTTATCATTGTATACTAAGTTAAAGTTTCAAATATCTAAGTGATATGCTGAAAATCACAATAATTTGATCATATTAATCCAGAATTAATTCCCATAATCTGTGATGATCATTCGTCTTCTGAGGCTAAGCAACATCCCTATTTATATTAAGATTAGGAAATTCAGCATAGAGCTGAAATCAAAATGCCTGCTGCAAAATGTATGAGTGACTGTCACAGACAGCTAGTAATTGTTTTACTACACACAATCAGGGATGTTATTTTACAAACACTGTGAAGTCCTTTGGATTTGAGAACTAGAGGCCCAGAATTGAGGCACTTTGTTGTAGTCTAGGAGAATCAAGATGGAAAGAAAAAGCTTTAAAAATATTTTTAATTTGCTCAAAACTCTGAAGGATTTCAAATGCTTTCTGTGTTGTTTATCTAAATAATATTTCAGCTATATCAAGAACTAAATAACCCAAAAAAGACCTTTTTTAAATTTACTTAAATACATATATATTTATATATGTATTTACATATATATACACATATATATTTATATATGTATTTACATATATATTTACAATACATATATATTTAAATACATATATATGTATATGTATATATATAAATATGTGTATATGTATATATGTGTATATACACACACATATATATACATATATATATATTCCATACAGTGGAATATATATATATATATTCCACTGTATGTATATATACAGTGGAATATTACTCAACCATAAAAAATAATGACATCATGCAGTTTGCAATGATGTGGATGGAGCTAGAGAGTATGCCAAGCAAAACAGAAAAATACCATATGATTACACTCATCTGTGGAATTTAAGAAATAAAACAAGCATTGGGGAGAAAAGAGGCAAACCAGGAAATGGACTCTTAACTATAGAGAACAAACTGATGGTTATCAGTGTGGAGGTGAGTGAGAGGATGAATTAAATAGGTGATGGGGATTAAGGAGTACATTTATTGGAATGAGCACAGGGTATGGTATGGAAGTGTTTAATAACCAAATTGTACACTGAAATTAATATACTATATGTTAATGAATTTAAAACTTTTTAAAAAATCAATTAAAAATGGGCAGAGAGTCTGAATAGACAGTTTCTTTGCTTCTTTGCTTCAGCCTTAGGGGCAAATTTCAAGTTTGGTACTCATCTAGTGGCCCACCAAGTTACTCTCAAGGAATGTGAGTTGTAGATGCCATCTTGGCACTCCCTTCCTCCCTTGCTCCAGCTCACCAGTATCTCACAGAGGAGAGCTTATACACTTGTTTGGATCCTCAGTTTTGTTTCTCCTGCCCAAGGGACACCTCCAGATTGCCTGGCTCTTTTTGCCAGTGGGGTTTATGCTTACAGTCCCATAGGACTATATATTTGCATAGTACTAAGAGCTGCGGCCTAACGGTCTGGCTTCTAATCAGCCCAGATCTTGGCATTGAGATTCTCCCCTTTGAAACACTGACAGATTTAGCACATCCTTAAGTACTAGGTATTATTAAAAATATAATAGCTACTTGGACAAGCATAAAGGGTTGAGAGAAAACCAAGAGCTGGGGCACAGTTGAACAATGTGCATCATCTCCTATATTAGGCCACTTCTTTAAGACAGAGGTGTTTTCTTCATTGGCTGTAAAGAAACCAACACAGTCAAGCAAAATGAAGAAACAGAAATGTGTTTCAAATGAAAGAACAATATAGAACATAAGTGGAGAAAATAATGAAACAGAGATGAGTGATTTACCAGATAAAGAGTTCAAAATAACAGTCATAAAGATAGTTTGCTCACTGAAATAAAGGGAAGAATGTGTGAACACAGTAAAAGTTCAACAAGAGATGAGAAGTATATGAAAGCACCAAACAGAAGTCACAGAGCTGAAAAATAAAATACTTGAACTGAAAAAAAAAATTCACTAGAGGAGTTCAACAACAGACTAGATGAAGCAGAAGAAAGGATCAGTTAAATGAAAGACAGTGCAATAGAACACAAAGCAATAACTAAAAGAATGGAGAAAAAAAAATTAAGATAAATTAAGGGACTTACAAAACAGTACCAAATGAACTAACATTCACTTCATAGGACTCCCAGAAGGAAAAGAAAAGGGAAAGAGGCAGAAATCTTGTTTGAAGAAATAATGGTTGAAAATTTTCCTAAGCTTAAGAAAGAAACAGACATCCAGATCTGGGAAGCCCAGAGTGTTCCAAATAAGATGAACCAAAAGAGACCCTAACAAGATATATTATAATTAAAATGTCAAAAGTTAAAGATGAGAGAATTTGAAAACCAGCAAAAGAAAAATAATTTGTTACATAGGAACTCCCATAAGACCATAAGACCTTTAACAGGCCAGAAGGGAGTGGCACAATATATTTAAAGTGTGAAAAGAAAAAAAAAAAAATCCAACCAAGAATACTCTACCCAGCAATTAGCACTCAGAATTGAAGGAGAAATAAAGAGCTTTCTGGATGAGCAAAAACTAAAGGAGTTCATCACCATTAAACTGGTCTTACAAGAAATGGTGAAGGGGCTTCTTTAAGTTGAAAAGGGTACTAATTAATAACAAGAACACATATGAAAGAATAAATTTCACTGGGAAGGTAAATATATAGTAAAGATAGGGGATTAATCATTTATGAAGCTAGTCTGAAGCTTAAAAGACAAAGGTAGTAAAAAGAACTGATATCACACAATAAGATGAAGGATAAAAATCATATGATTATCTCAGGAGACATAGAGAAAGCTTTT